GCCTTGGGTTCTTCGGCAGGTTCAGCCTTGGGTTCTTCGGCAGGTTCAGCCTTGGGTTCCTCAACAGCATCATCCGCTGCAACAGCTTCAACCTTAACCTCTGCAGGTGGCTGCTTTGACTCGGGCTCATCGAGAGACTCAGCGGGCTCAGGCTTGGAATCCTCGACAGACTCCTGTGCCGGCTCGTCCGCAGCCGCTTCTGTAGTCCGGACCTCAGCCGCCGACACTTCTTCTGTGGCTGCAGGCGCCTCCTCGACAGCCTTGGCCTCTTCAACAGGCATCGAAGGACTCTCTGCTTCCTCAACAACAGCCGGGGCAGAAGTTCCAGCGGATTCTTCTGGCTCCGCCCCCGCAGCCTCCGTGGCAGCAGCAACCTCCGACTTTTCCTCTGGCACATCCTCGGGATCGGTAGCGCCCTGTTCCGTAGCTAGAACGCCTTCCACCTCGGCCTGGGCAGGTTCTTCAGGCTGGCCAGCGGCGTTGATCTCAGGAACGTGCTCAGACTCATCCATTTCAGCCTTGACCTCGGTGGCAGCCTTGAGCGTGTCAGTATAATGGACTCGCATGCGAAACGGCGTGTCTAAGCTTACATCGGCAACAATGGGCTCCTGCACATCGGCATTGCCATCCGCATCAGGTTTCTCCGAGTCGGTGGATTCTGGCGGATTCGACGGTTCCTCAACGCCCGATGCCTCAGGCTGATTCTGGCTGGTATCCTCGGCTGCTTCGGGGGCAGCCACGGTGTCATTCTGAGTTACTGCAGATTCTGCAGATTCTGTGACGGGGTCATCCGGCGTCTCGTCCTTTGGCTCTTCAGAGCTCCCAGTGGGTGAATCGTCATGAATCTTCGCAGCTTCCCCTTCGAGGACAGCCTCCGCGGGTTCGGAAACCCCTTTAGCGGAGACCTGAGATACAGGTTCAGCCACACTTGCGGATGCTTCTTCCTGGGCATCGTTCGGCTCATCAACCGTTTGAGGCACTGCTGGGGACTCGGTTTCTGTGGCGGCCTCGTTCCCTTCAAGGAGATCGGGAGCAGTAGTGCTATCGTCGGCGGCAGGCTTCTCCCTAGAGGCTATTAGAATTCGACAGAACTAATGTTGGTAGCTATCAACTTACTCAATCGCCGGCTCTTCTTCAGCTTTTGGTGCCTCTACAGGTACCGGGGTGTCATCGGTAGCAGAGATGGTCGGTTCGGCGGCGGCGGCTACGGGTTCCTCCTTCGAGTCTTCCTGGGACCCAGACTGAGTAGCCGGTTCGTCCTGTGCATCATCATTTGGTTCTTCCTTGGCCTCAACCGCGCACTTGGCCTCCTGCTTCGAATTGTCGCTGGTAGCTGCACCCTCCTGGGCGTCCTCCGTAGCGCCAGCAGTCGGTTGCTCCTTGGCTTCGACGACATTCTCAGCAGGTTGTTCAGCTTGAGATTCGGTGATGGACTCGGGAGTGGGATCTTCTTTGGCCTCATCCGTGGATTTGTTTGTGGCGGCTGTTGGAGCCGGGTCTTCGCTGGCTCTGTTCGGCTCAGCAGCTAGCTGTACATCAACCTCATCTGCGGGTTCAGGGTTCGGTTCCTCGATGGCTACAGAAACAGCGTCAGGAGTGGGCTCATCGTTGGCCTCTGCGACAGCTTCAGGAGCGAGCTGTTGCTCAGCCTCGGCGACAGGTCCAGAAGATGTCTTATCCTGAGCCTCTTCGGTTGGCTCAAGAGCTGCCTGCTCGTTTGTATCAGTAACAGGCTCTTCCTTGGCTTCAATGGCAGCCTCAGGAGTAGGAGTAGGCTCCTCAGTGGCTCCAACCGCAGTCTCTGAGGTCGGTTCTTCCTTGGTCTCCGCCGCAAGGTCATCGTTGACCGGCTCTTCCTTGACTTCAGCCGTGATCTCAGGCACAGGCCCCTCACTGGCCTCAGCAGCAGTATCGACAGCTGGCTCTCCGTTGGTCACGGGCGCAGGCTCATCGTTGGCCGGTTCTTCCTTGGCTTCAACCGCAGCCTCAGGAGTAGGCTCCTCATTCGCTTCAGCCGCGGTGTCCGGAGCCGGTTTTTCCTTTGTCTCGAGCGCAGGCTCTTCGCTGACTTCCACGACAGGCGCGGGAGCAGATTGCTCATCGGCTTCGGCAACAGTATCAGGGACGGGCTCTTCCTTGAGTTCGGCCACATTTTTAGGAGCTGACTTTCCCTCAACCTCGGGGGCCGGCTTCGACTCTACCTCCGCGGCATCTTCAGTCTCAGCGGCCTTGACTTCCTCTGCGGGTGGCGGGGACTGCGTGCTCTCCTCCTCAACGGTTGAGGGCTGCTCGGCTGAGGGCGGTTCGGGAGCAGTGCTGGGTTGCTCTTGCTCCTCCTCCTCACCCCCGGCGGATTCTCCCGCCTTTTCCGCTTCCGGCTCGACGGCAGGTAACTCCTGGGCGTTCTCCGGCTGAGGAGCCTCGGCCTCAGGTTCGGCCTTGGCTTCAGTAACTTCAGCCGTAGCCTCTAAGGGCTTTTGTGTTTCTTCAACCTCAGCAGTAGGTGCCGGAGTATCTGCAGGCGGCTGCTCATCTTCCGCAACAGCTTCAGGGGCGGTGGTCTCGACAGACGCCGTGACTTCGTCGCACTTCGCCTCCTCAGACGGCTCTTCCTTGACAGCTACAGGCTCCGCTTCGGTGGAGCTTGGCTCCTCTGGCATTTCCGCAGGGGCGTCTACTTTGACGGGAGCCGGGCCAGCATCCTCGGCGACCTTGGTTTCAGCAGCTTCAGCAACGGCATTCCCACTGCCTTCGGCGACGGCAGCCTCAGCTTCTGCAACGGGTGCCGGACTCTGTTCAGGGACACCAGCGCCGTTGGTGCCGACCTCCTGTTGTTCGGGTTTAGATTCGGCCTCCACCACAGGGGCCGCAGCAGCAGCGGCTGCGGCAATAGCAGGTTCACTGCTCTCCTCAGCCTTGGGCTCCTCCCCAGCACTCGGGATTTCAGGGGCCGGTTCACCGGCCTTCCCATCTTCGGCCTTGGCGGGAGACTTCGGTGTCTTACTATCCTTGTCCTTGGCTTTCTTGCCGTTCTTGCCTTTGGACTTCTTGCTGATCTTGCCGTTGGGGGGGGACGCCGGCTGCTCAAGCTCCTTCTTAGGCTGAGGCTCAGCTTTCGCGGCCTTTGCCGCCGCCTTCTTTGCAGCCTTTTTCTTATTCTTCTTGGCGCTCCTCGAGAGAGGAGCTGTGGGTGAGGTGGGTGACGCAGGGCCCGCTTCTATGGGAGCCTCCACCTCCTCTTGTTGAGGAGCGCCCTCGTCCTCAACTTCATCGCCTGAATACCTCCATCAGCGATCACGTTCATGCTCATGTTTATGCTCACAGACAGCACAGCTGATGCGGCAATAACATGTTACTCACCCTCATTGTCTACCTCAGGCTCATTCTCGTCTTCCGACTCCGAGGGCTGGAAGTACTGAACATCTCCATACTGGGATACCTGCACAGAATTGAAGTCGGCAAACTGAACGTGGTCATACTGGACTTGGGACCAATGAAGGCTCGCCCGGGCGGGACTGAACTCGACATTTTCGACTGGGTAACTCATACTTGTGGGACGTCGACCTCTGCCTTGTCGGAGGGAATCTCGACTGTGAGGACCTGAGGGGTGCTCTTATTATCCTCCATGCAGAGCACTCCAATACTACGTGATCTTGAGACACTGCAGATATGATGGCTACCCAAAGATGAGGTGGGGGGGTTTGGGCTGCGGGTGGCGGTCGACGAATGGCCAAGTCGTGGCTAATATATGCTATGCACGACTGGAGGGTGCAGTTGCAAGCGGGAGGTTTTGAGGGGAATTTTCGCGGTCAATGGTTGGCCGCGAAGGGTTTTTCGTCGATTGTAAACAAAACAGGTAAGTGCGCTCTGGCGCGCCGGTATTGGGTTCTGGAAAACACACAAACGCAGGAATTGTGAAGAAGAAACTTCACAGGTCCCACTGACGACTTGCAGATGTAAAAGAGAAGATTGCAATTGGGAATTGGGAATCGGGACGAGGCAGAAGACAAGCTCCCTTGGACAGTGACAGACCGAGGCCTGGGGCAGGTGCATGAAAAAGAGCAATTGGCTCTTGGCAAGAACTGTGTAGCCCGCCACGGCAGTCACATCCCTCCCCCCATCAAGTGCGAATTCCAGTCGCAATCAACCATTCAACCCCACGTAACATGGAGAACGAACCGTCTCTCATGCGCGGGGTGTTTTTCTGCCTCGAGTGAATGGATGAATGGATCGAGAGGTCCGGCGGCGGCCCACACAGCTGCAGTGGCGCCACGTCGCACCCGGGGTAAGACGCAAACCCAAGCAACTGCTCGAACCAGACGGAACCTTGGGAGAGCTGTCACAACAAGACGCTTCAGCCCAAAGCAACAAGTTGGAGAATAACGTTAACATTGGCCACGGCTAGCCGGCAGATCGGTCAAGTCGCAGACCTCTAGACCGAACATTGTCTCGAGAGAGCCGGAGCCAATGTGCTGTAAAGTTACACGCATAACTCAGTGCCATGGTCAAGAAAGATGACCGTCAATTCGGCTCACAGCATGAAGTGACGCGAGCCTCATCCCGGATGATTGGATGAGAACAATTGGGTAGCTGGCGTGCCATTGGGCTGCCATGAGGCTATCCGGGACCCTCCCACGCTCGGTTGATGTTCTTCCATCCCTTGCTTGGGAAGCCGGGATGGGGTGAGCGACGGGGTTACCGAAGCGGGACAAACCACGCGGGTGCCGGCAAGTACCGTATATACACTAGTAGGTGGCTCGTCCACAACGTCAATTCAGTTCTCAAGGTGAGAGATTTGTGTGTACAGTACAGTACCTCACGTAGATGGGCAGCGATCCCCCTCCGAGGGGCATCAAAGATCCCGTCCCGTCGCTCGGGTGGTGATGGAGGTACAGAGTCGGCGCGTGGTGTCACGCCGTGCTACGTGGTTGACTGCTGGCTTGTCGCTTGTGGAGATCGCCTGCATGACGGGCGGTCTAACTGTGACGGTACCTTGTAGAGTGGGTCCCGGCCAGCGACATCGGGTCCATACGTGGGGCATCAAGCATGCATGTTAGTGAGCCAGCACAGCAGCCCGAAAATTTTCAATGCTCATCATCAAGTGCAAAATGTTGCGCAGCTGACCCAATTGCGAACGATCTGCCATAGATGAGTGGTAAGGACTCACCGGAGCAAAGAATCGAATTGGTAGACTGAAGACGTCTGGGGACCAGGTCTCTGGATGTTTTGTTAGTGATGGAACTTCTTCAGGGTCTTATGTTGCTCAGATCACCGCTAGTCCGACACCCCTGTTCAAAGTTCTAAGCTAACAGTTGATAAAGTAACGTCAAAGTCCAGCCGAGAGCCAGCCTATCAACTCTCGGGTCACGCAACGGCTATCAAACAAGCCGCACGCATCGAACAGAGGGACATATCACATAGGAAACAAGAATAGTCGAGTCAGGCAAGAAGATCGATGCTGATTTTAGGTGAAAGCCAAGAGCAGCCCTCTGTCAGGTTTTCTTGATTTCACTACTGTGGTGGTATGGGTAAGTCAAATTACCCTGTCCTGTAAATACGTACAGGTTTCGCCAGCCTGACGTGGGCGTCGCACGGACCAAGTACCTGACAGGGGAATTTAACTTATGCCTCACACCACAGTAGACTTCACACCGAGAAGCTGGCCCTGTCCTGTACTTGGCCCTATCTGTGATGAGAGCCTTGGGAGTTGGGAGGTACAAGTCAACCTCTTCGCGGCTAATTGCCAAGCTGAACATACGCTCGAGACATTGATACAGCATCGCTTTTGCGCCGATTCCCTGTACAGAGGAAACCCCCCCAAGATCTCCAACCTTACTCTACGAAGCAAGAGTGACTGGACGCTTGGACCGGGTTGGAAGCCATAGTGTAGAGATCAGCGTCGAGCTGATCAGGTTGCGAGTTGCGACGCCAGACAGGAATGGAAGGCGGCAAGATAGAAAGACTAAAAAATGCTCAAAACGTGAATAGCTTGATCGCGCTTAGGATCGGGCGCCTCCACAGCTGATGGAGCTTCTGTTGTCGCTTCTGTGGCAACGGATAACAACAGTGAAAAGGCGGTGTGAGGCACTGAGGACCCTCGTCAACTGTTCAGCTAGACCTACGAAGGTAGAGCTCCCAGGCTTTGAGCCGGGTGATGCTCATTGCTATCACGCTATCACAAAGTTTTCCAGCCATCTCCTGCGCAACACCAAGCACAAGGCCGAGGAATCTGCGAGGCTGGAATGCACGCTAATGAGGCGGCAAGGGTTCCCTACGGTTACCCAGCTGCAGCCTGCACGCCTGTCGGCTGTCCACAAGCCGGTAGTGTAGTAGGAAAACTTTATGCCTTATCAAACGACTCTGTGCGACATGCCTGTGCCTCGAACCAAAACAAATCCTAGGTACAAACCTCGAAACGCCAGTCCCATCGCTCCAGAAATAAGAGCTGCGAGGACAGTAGCTAACATCATGGGAACAATATGTCCTCCCCTCGCCCAACCATATCCCCCACCTATATTGCCATCGCTCACCAACACTCCGATGCGAGTGTCCCCCATGAAAAGGGATGCCTGCTAGTATCCCACTCTGCACCGTGCGATACCAATACAACGCAACCTCCCCTGAGTTCTTAAGCTCAGATAGCCATCGCTTCCTGCAGCTTTCTGAGTTCCGCCTCCTCGTCGTCCTCTGTTACTGCGGGCGCCTTTCCTTTGACTAGAAAGCCGTTAGCACGCGGGCTAATACAGGGCTGGGTCGCCCAAACAGAGGTCAACTCACGATCTCCATTTGCCACAGCAGGCAGTCGGTCGACGGGCACGGCGCCCGTCTCGAGCATCTTGTCCTCCAGCTCTTGCTGCTGAAGAGCTTCCATTTCGTCCTCTAGGTCTGCCTCGTCGACTTGCGGGCCAATGGCGGCGTTAGAAATGCTATCCGCAATATCTTCGTTGAGCCGGTTGTATTCCTGAATCTGATCCCTGTTCATATCGTCAGCGGCTAGTGTCCAGGATATCCGCCTAACGGGCCGCAACGCGACATGAGAGCAGGGCACATACATTACTTCGTCCACCTTTGTGGGCGTGAGCTTGCCATGTATTTGCTTCATGACGTCGCCCGCCCTCTGCATGGCGGCGAACGTCTCAAGGTTGATATTTGCCGACTCGATCGCCCCAATCTGCTGCTCGATGGTTCCAACGTGGTTCAGTGTCTGCTCGAGGGTGTGTTCGTAGGCCTTCTTGCGTCGCAGCGCCGCCATCGCAGCTGTTCAAAACGGCCGTAGCTCAGCATCCGCTCGCAAGTGCCGCACAAGGAGACGCCGACAGGCGGTTCTTACCTTGTTTGTTTGTCGTGACATTCTTCTTTGCTATCTGGTTCTGCTGCTCTATCTGGTTCTCGAGGTGTTTCTGGCGCTTTTCCAGCATCTCGAGCTGCGTCCGGAGTGTAATGATGACATTCTTGGGGTTATCTTTCCGCTTCTGCGCGGCTCCGCCGCCAAACCAGCCCCAGATGCCTGACATGGCGAGTATGTGCGGAATGAGGATCGGTGCTAGAAGGCGATTATCGGCGATGGGTTATTCGTGATGTGCTGGATGGCGGACCCGATATACAGTTGGCGGTTGCGAAGCACCGGTCCAGCTGATCAGCTTTGCCGATGACGACGCCGCATCCAGGTTGGCGGGGTCGCAGCCTAACTCCAGGCAACTCGGCAGCCACCCACTGACCGATAAGAGTGATGGATATCTCTGTCGTCAAATCCTAATGGAATACAAGGTCAGGGACCTTGTTTTGGGGAATGTACTTGAAAGTCGTCTTGAATCGAGACTTCTGTACCGTTGCCTATCAGCGATGATGCAAGGCGTTGCCAAACGAGCTTTGGGAGAGTGGGATCACGGCAAAGGCCATGCGGCGAGATCATGTGATTCGACTAACAGTGGCTATGACTAAGCAGCCACGAGGAAGCTCTTGGAACCGGCAGGCACCATCCAAGATTCCAACCACTCTTCCCATTCGCGACGATGGCTCCCTCGAGACACTCTCTGCGCCATTTTCATTTCAAAATGTGACAGAATTTTTTATCTCGGTTTTCAGGATGTCTACTGGCCCTCCGCCGTCACAGCTTTGCCTGCTGTCGACATTGCCGCTGAAACAAGTGGGCGATAAAGTGAGATTCTTAGCCTGGTGAGTTATTAGTCGTTCTTGCCATAAAATCAACGTGGTGGTTGTCGGACATAAATCTGGACTTCAATGCCACCAAAAGTACTATTTTCCCGGGTATAGCAAACCATGCTCGTCGCACGTACAAGCTTTCAGAGGGCTTTGAAGTACACAACTGACTTGTCCTGCAGCGTGTCGTCTTACTCTCCTGTCCATGCCATCCTGACTTTGGAACATCGTCTATCGGGCGATGCCTGCTCAGTACTGGCTCTGGTGGATGTGAACCTCATCCTGGAACGTATCGGAGCAAACCAGACGCGCACCGGGGAGTGGGTCAACGTGATCGGGTACATCACGGACATCGCTCCCATGAATGACGGCAAACGAGCAAAGGGCGGGAACTCAAAGATCCAGGTCCAAGCCCTCCTTCTCTGGTCTGCTGGGCCGCTTGATGTGCAGAAGTACACAGCATCAGTCCGGGCTCTGGAATGCTGAGGTCCGCGCCAATTACCGACATCCGCTCTAAGGCTCGCCTTTGCTTGCTTGCTAAGGACCTTATGTTCCTGGCCGTTCCCGCCGCTGGATGGTCCGGTGAGACTACATCCAGTTATTATCCTCTCAAGCACTGGCGCTTCACTTTTGCGCGGATATGCTCAGATTGCAGCCCCTGACGATTGTTTACTTCCCAGCGTTGGTTGCAAGCCATTGCGCCTCAGGGCAGCAGCAACTTCCGGGAACTCTGTCAGGACGCCACGACGTTATGCCGCGGATCTATAGTCAACGGGGCGAGTAGATCTAACACGACAGCACCGGAGACGGTTTCAGTGCAGATGGCTTGCAAGTTGCAACTACGATCCCCGAATTCCCGACCGCTCAGTGACCGCGATGCATAAAGCCAGTCGTCAAGGGAGCCCTGGATTGGTTGCCTGGTGGAGGCAAGAGTTGGCGGCCGCTACCTAGACTACCTGATTCTGCAAAGCTATGGCTACGGCTGTCTTGCTGTGCACATCAACACCGCTCGAGATACATCGTCTCGCCCTTCGCCAAGCCCCATATTGCCTAGAATGCACGAGGGTACAGGCAGTAATCCAATTGGGATAGCGGATCGCTCAAATATGGCTAACTCTTGTCGGTTGCATAATCCGACATGCACATGCAGTCAACCGCCAAACTTGAGGAGAAATCGGTGTCCATTGTGGCACCGGCATGCCAGATGGCACGATATTGCTGGTCCGAACGCAACGGCTTCCAGCCGCCGTGCCGCCGTCCCACAGTCCGATATAGCAATCTGTGTTCCGGGCGACTCCGTGTAAGACATCCTGTTCGCCATTCGCCATTCGCCCTCCTCGGAGTCGGCCGCGACCGTGTTATGGTTGAACCGCTGCATGCTGGGGTTCCGTCCCTGCAAGAGAAACCATCTGCAATTCCTCGGTCCACCTTCCCCATCAGACGCTTGGTTCCAACAAATTCATTCGCTTCGATAATGGAACTGATGTATCAAGTCAATTTCGGCGTTTCTCGTCGCGTCGGCTCCCAGGATCGTGGCGCCTCCGGTCCTCCCTTCTCCTCCTGGGCGATTCACCGGCGCCCGCCTTGGATATGACGACTGGCTGGTGAAGCGGTCGCTTCAAAGGCTTGCTTGAGCTGCCGGATGACCTTGCCGCTGCCTGTCTCTCCCACATGTCTTTGGACTTGACGCAGATGTCGTCTATTTGCTCCTGAGGGATGTCAATTTTCGTCTTCAAGCTCTACCGTATGTCGTGCGGTGGTGGCTCACATCTGTTAGGCAAGGCCCTGGTGTGGTGATCAGAAAGCCATCCTCTCCCTAGACACTGTCAACCATCAGCCCTCGCGGATTGGGAAGGGAAAGTTAGCCCACTTCGCGAGTATAGGGCCTCACTGTTGCCTCAGGCCCGAGATAATACTGAAGTTCCTGGGTGATGACCTTCTTGTGGATATCCAAATGAGGGATCCAGTACTTGTTCATGGATGACGAGGACGACATGTTGGCTAGGAAGCTTGGAGTGATGCGACAATGTGGGCCGAGGCCGTTGTTTCCTATTCTTCTTCAAAGTAGGGACATAGGGAGAGCAACCCTCTATTTATGCCTCCCTGGGGGCGACGCATCGGCTGAAGTTGGCCAGTCGAGGAGATGCTACCTTCCAGAACGCTCTCGGAGGAGGTCACGAAGCAGAGTATAAACACTTACACCGCTCAATCTATCCTAGCCACTCAAATACACGATCTGCTGCGGTCCGTTGATGGCACAGTGGCGGTATCCAAGCTGGGTAGAGCCCTTTTTTCACTGGCTGGTTTCCTTCAACCCACCGTCCGCCTCACTTTTCCGCCTCGCCCAGGCCCCCCTCCTTTCCATTCCCGACTGTCTGTGATACAACCCGTCGAGACCTACCCATGCGCACCTCGAGTTGTATCTATTGCATGTCTGCTTCAAGCTATCGTTAGATGGAAGGGAGCATTTGGCGCAACATACCTACATGGGGCATCCAAGGTGGTATCCGTTTTGCGCAGCGATACCTCATTTCCAAGATATCCGGTGATACCAGTTCGCTGCAGCCCTATCAGCTCTCTGCGAACTGCACAACTGTGTCCGAGAACCAGGCTCTCTCGGCTCTTGATGGATTGCAGCCACCCCCGGCACCCCCCGTTCTCGAAAGAGTTGTGATGCCCGCGCCGCTGACGAATGAAGGTGGCGATATTGGTCCCATGCTGTGTACCTGCACGAAATGCGGTTTCCGCTGATCTCCGTCGCACCGACCCATGTTTTGGTTTGCGCGCACGCTTCGTGCGCGACATACATCTGTTGGGTCGGCTGGCCGTGTGGGTATGATGGTAGGTAGTGTATGTACATACATACATACAATACAATACCAGCCCCCAGGGGACAAAACCTGTGCCTGGCTGGCTAAAGGCGCCAAGGGCGCTTCGTCCTTATGCCCAATTCTCTTGTTAGGACGTTATGTTCGAGGCTGACCGTTGATCGCATGCCCCTTTTGTGGGGAGAATCCTTACTTCATCAGCCTCGTTGCAGGCATCACGGGCTTATGCCCTATACTTAGGTCGCCTTCTCACTCTTCCAACATTTTGAACATCTTTGCTCATTTTGTTTTCTTCACTTTCTGTCACTCAGCGCTTGTGTTTCTTGATAATGCCCGCCCTGCCATTCCTGATACAATACACCTTGTCCCTGCCTGAGTACTTAGATACCTGGGTAGCCACTTACGTACATTGGGCCTGGAGAGTCCAATACGCATGCGGCGAGCGGGTTTAACGATCTACCCTGTGCGGGGAACGGTTTAGTGTTTCGGTTCTTGTATGGACGATGATGCTCGACTGGAAGGGTGAGAGCAGCCATGGCCGTTCAGCTATCCACTTACCCCTGATTTGGAGGCATACGTGGCTCGAGTCTTGGTGTTTACTTCCCTCGGGGTGTTTTCCATTCGACGCCGTTGCATGTGGCTAGCCCAGTGGGTTTTTGGTGGCCGCTTTGCTTCCGACTTGCTCTTCTGCTTTCCACAGTTTCTTTTTCTATCCTTTGCTCCAAAGAAAAAGTGCTTGATGAATTCCTTCACTTTTTTCTTCTTTCGCCATTGGACTTTTAATGTGCTTGTTTGGGTGCCAGTGGGCAGAAACGAGGCGGGAGGATCGGCAGGAGGAGATGGCTCACTGGGAACGAAGTGAGGAGCTACCGAGCCGCCTGCGGTTGTGTTCTTATGAGTGTTGTGGTATTGAACCTCTGCGAGCCATCACTCTCCGTTCGCCTTGTGTATGGGGGATGCCTTATGGAACTGAATCTGCTGCTCATCATGGATGGTGAGGCGGCAGTTCGTTGGGTCCAGATGGATGGTTGGGGAGGCTCGAGCCTCACTTGCGAAGCAACTCGCCCGTCCAACGGTCCAAGTACGCAGTGGACGATTCTCAGTCAGCCGCATCCTCTGAGACATCCGAATCGCGACCTACGGCTTTAGATGTATTTGGATCCTGGATCCCTGTCGGACATAGTAGCCCGTCAGAGCAGGCCATGGTCGGTCAGTCTCTTGCTGCCACTGGCCAAGGCCTTTCATACTGTAACAGTTTACCCATTGCTGGCTCCTTCAATAGCCCATGAACTCAGTACGAGTCTACTATCCAATTTGTTATGAGACAGGAACGTACTAGTGCGTGTCCACAGATAATCAATCTTCGTATATAAGGAGTCCGCCTACAGCCTGTAAGTGGTATGGATGTGTCCAAAGAGTTGAGCAGCCCATACTAGCAGGCTCTGGTATATTTCCAATACCTCCACACCAGTGAACGGGACTGTATCAGCACTCACGCCTCAACTCCACGCCATGAATAGTATTCCCTCTGCAGAATTGTTCCAGTTCCAGTTCACGTTGGTTCCTGGGGTCAACAGGTAAGAGGGGTAAGAGTGCCAAGCCGATCGTGACCTACTTTGACTGTCCTGAATTGACGCCATCCTCCCTTGGGAACAAGTTCAAGCTGTAGCGCGAGGCTAAGTTACTGCTCTCGTTGTCATGGAGGCCGATGCATACCGTGAAGTGTCAGCTGTCCGCCCAGAGCATGGTACTAGTACAACAAGTACGACTCGCAACCCAACTGACAGCTCGTGTTCCTTGCCAATGGTCCGTACCACACGGCGCCTTGGCCCGGTCGATGAAGATGATCGAGTCCGCGGAAAATGGCAGTATCGCCAGTCATTATCTTCAGTTGACCTCTAAAGCTTCTAGGCGTGAACCACAAAGCTCTGAAGCCCGACAGAACCACGCTGGACTCGCTGGAGCAAGGAAGATGGTACAAGTACATCCCGGGTGTCCTGGAGGCTGCACAGTAGTACTTACAGTACTAGTACTAATGCAGGTCTGTGTCCTGGAGGTCGCTCTTCGATCGATTGAGTCCCAAGCAACGCGGCTCTGAAGAGATGCTAACTAACCCTAATGGCACCAGCCATCCTAGCCATGCGCTGCATTAACTTCGTCCCGGCTCGACTGTCGAGCGTTTGTCGGAGGAACCGGAGGAAGGAAGAGAGGTCAACGTAGTGGAATTGTCAGGGCTACTGAAGAAAGGAAGAAAAGGAGGGAAAATCCCAGGGCCAACGTACAGGCCAGAGATAGGGGCGTGTGGCTGGCTGAGGTAAGCAGTGTGGGCACGGGCCCAGTGCCCACACAAACAGCGTTCCATAGCACCCACATAGTACCTCAACGGCTTCAACTTGGACGAGCACAGTACTGGTCCTGTTGAGGGTGAGGAGATAGGTATTTGTAGGCGTCCGACAGCTGCTGAACTCAATAGAATGACTACTCCGTACAAGCCAAGAGCACCGTTAAAGGGTTGGTATTGTCTAATAGAACAGATTACTAAGCCAACCAATCGCTAATTCAGCTCGCTTACCCGTTGGCTCCACTTTCGCTGCACGCAAGGGGCCAACTCTAAAGAGTTGGGCGCACAACCCAGAGACGGCACAAAACCCAGAGACGATAGTGCAATATATGGCATTCTACTACAATCACTAACAGATGAGCAGTCGCATGCCCGAATCCCAGGCAATACTGCACTTTCAAGAAAATGGGTATGACCATTAGATTCGCCTTGAAGAGGCGGTTCGAATAATACCTACTTTGGATAGATACATTCTATTGCTCTTATGTTCGTGGTAAATTTTGGTGGAAGTCGTTGAATCTGGTGACCTAGGTCTTGTAAGTCGGGTTTAGAATGTGGTAACAAGATGCAACACTTTCACCAAGGGCTCTCCAAATATAAGGTGCATCCATTCAAAGTAGGTATTATTCAAACCGCTTCTTTAAGGCCGATTTAACAGTCATATTCGTTTTCCAGGAAAACCAATGGTTATGAAGATGCAGGTTGCTAGTGTTGCTGGCTAACAATTTTGTATGAGGAATGCACCAATTTCTGATGCGTCTCTGGGTTTCGTGCCGTCTCTGGTTTGTGCGCCCAACTCTTTAGAGTTGGCCCCTTGAGTGCAGCGAAAGTGGAGCCAACGGGTAGGTCAGCCAGAGCGGCCAAAATCACACAACTGTCACATGCTTCAGAGTCCGACCAAAACTGCACCAGCACGGCATGTCCCGGTACTTCTCATGCATTAACTGAGGGATGCAGTGGAAGCTAGTTCCACGGTATACTTGCATAGCCTGCAGGTAATCAACATGGGACAACAGATCCTTAGATGCACACGAGCACATCAGGACATCTCCTCTCGTTCTTTTTTCGTTGTGCACCTGGAAACTGAGACGGACAATGAGGCATGATATCGGCTTGTCCACGAACAGATGTTTGATCGCCAGCTCGAATTGAGCAACGTGAGTAAGTGTTGCCCTACATATTCCAATAGTGAGCTAGTAGTGAACTGCAGCCACATCTGGACACGTGAAGATAGCGGTGGGCACTTGCGCCAAAATTTTGGCAGGGGCTACGCTAGCCTTTCTGTTTTTTGGAGTGTGCCCTTTTTGGGGACACCGTGGACAAGCGAAAAAGTATACCTACGACATCACCGAAAAAGACACCAATAGAAAGGAGCTCCTTGTTGACGGCATCTGGCGGCTATATTCCAAGACGCGACAAGAGCAGATTTGCAGATCGGTAGCTCTGCTAGGCCCTTGGAATAGAGCGTTAACTTACAAGGACAAAACAAATGGGCCTGGAATCGATGCCTCAGATCATTGACGACTCGACTTTGCCAACAGGCGCCTAGCGACCTCATCACCATACCATCTATCCCCCGCAAGAGTGCGAGGCGCAACGAAAGCCACCCTCTCGACGTCGGTAGCCTCTCATCCCGTTAAGGCCACACCTCCTCTGGCCGCTTCATCGTGTTCCCTTGCAGCTGGACCCCGCGCCGAGCTCGGATCCATTGCGGGTGCACAGTGTTGGTGCGCAGCGCCTTGCCACCTTACCTCACCGCAAGCGGCCCGCGATTATCTGTCGCTTGACCGAGCATCACCAAGTTTCCCACAATCCACGATCCTCAAGAGGGCCTGGTAGCAATGTGGTGGCTTATCAGCGCCTGCTCGAGCGCCATCTTCCTCCTCAGCGTTGTCCTTTCAATACCGATTGCCTTCGATGTCGGGGGGCGAGACGCCGGCCTAGCTTATTCGCTATCGCTCTTCCTCTTCTACTTCTTCTACAGCATCAGCAAGCTTTTAACGCCCGAGAGATCACGGGTACGATGGTTCTTCACCAGCTTGGTGGGGCTGTCGCAATGGGTGGTCATTCCCGCGCTACTGATCTGGTCGCTCAACCGCTTTTCGGTCGATGCGGCCACTACGGGCTGGATTTCGCGCACATTTTCGAGTATCACGACGCACCATAAGAGCTGGTGGGAGTGGTTCTTCGGCCAGGAGGGGTTTCTGGAGACGATGGCCCTGGGGGCATGGGACAATATGCTGAGCTATTCGAGCCCCGTCTTTCAGTTGCTCGAGGGTTTCTGCAGCCTGCTCGTTATCCAGGCTGCTGGCCAAATCACCAGATGGCTCGTCAACCGAGGGCGGAGCGACACTTGGGTGGTGGGTTTACCTGCTTTCCCTGAATATTTCGTGGCTCGTGCTGACACTGGACCCCTAGATTATCCTTCTTGTCTTCTCCAGCTCTATCATATCTAGCGCCGTGTACTTTTTATGGCGCGTCGTTACCTTCCCGCAGATTGGCAATCTTGACGCCATTCTGATCGGCGTTGCTATGACGTCCGCTTTTTTTCTGTGCGCCTTTGGCATTGCCAGCGGACGCGGGAACCCCGTCGAGTCTTCCTTACTCTTCGCCTATACCGTGCTCTGCGTCTACCAAATATTCACCGACTATCAACCATCACCAGAGGCGGCTGCAGCCGCTGAGCAGGCCGCGGCGTCACAACCCGAATTCCCACCGCTTCCCCCCATCATCATGGCGTCGTACTCGACTCTGATGCACATGCTGAGCAACCTTCCATCAGCGGTCAACTCGTCATTCCAATTTCTCTATGCCGCATTCCAGACAATTACGCCAAGCGTTATCATTTCGCTGACATACCGTATCATTGTCTTTTATTGCGCAACCAGAATTATTCCCGCAGTAAGGGAGCTGGGCGCCCAGGCGATCATTGAGGGGCCCGGCTTAGAGGACAACGATGGGGCGAACCGCCTGCTCGGGTTCCTCAGCTGGTTCTCTCCGTCAATGCTCATCGCCGTATACACTAGTCTGTTGTTGCAACACTTTAGTGTGTCTAACAGCGGCGACGACGTCGGCTGGACACTGCGCGCAGGTGACGCTGGTGGTAGCACCTGGCGGTGGATTAACATTGCTGCCACGATGGGGCTTTATGCCGTGGAGCTATATCTCGGAGGAGATGGAGACGGGGGCCTGCACTGGAAAACCGATTAGGCCATGTGTGGTTGTTGCAAACAATCCGGACAGGCAAAATCGCGACATGCGACCACACTCGATATGGGGTGTGAGCTGATGGCTGGGCGGGAGGAGTGTTGCTGGGAAGGCCGGAGATGAGAGATGGTCAAGAGACATGATACCCAGGAATCAGGACCGGTATGTCAGCCGGGGAAGCCATTGCTCAGGGAGGAAAGTGACGGGCGTGAACTCTTGAGCAATGTTGGGAAACGATGCCATCTTACAGATCGCTAAGCACGCTTTCTTTCTTCTTCCCCCACCCTACACAATTTGGCACACAGCTAGAAAGGCGACGGGGATATTGAGGCACATTGGGATTGCACACAGCGATTGGCGTTCTTGGAGGCATGATTTGGGCTGTGTTATGTGTTATCCCGCCTTCTCTTCTACCAACTACGATGTTTTCGTTTGTTGCCATTGCGCTCTACGTTCCTCTGCCTAGTGCACTCTGCATACACTGCTTTGAGTTTTTTTTCTTTCCTGCTCCATCATAGTCTGGTCTGGGCCTGGTAGGGTAAGGGCGGCGTTCTATCACAGGATGGGATGTGGGCGTAGGGCACAGGCGGTTTTGCGCTGGTTTCATGCGTCTGCCTGGTTACTGCTTAGACTCGTATTATGGCGTAGGTGTGACTCTTCCTGTGTGTCCGCCGGCGTCTATGGTGTGAGTTTGTTGGGCCATGGGCTATCGAGAAATTGGTGGATGGGTGCGCGATGGCTTCGGATTCCGGGCCACTGCATTTCTTGTGCTAGAATTGGGCCAGGGATGAGGAAACAGGAGCAGCATTTTCGGACAATGGCACCATCTATGCTTGAATGGCGGGCCAGATATCCAAAACTTGACGTTCTGAAATCTGTCTTGTGTGGATGGATGGGTTCCTTATGCTGTGCAACACAGAGGCCCGGATTTAGCCGCCGATCAGGGGTAATCACGTCACTGGAGTGAGTTGGCAGACAGAGACTTGCCCACCATTAGGAAGAAACAAAAAATGAGCATAGTGTAGATAAGAAAATACAAGTAAAACTAAATAAAATGAAAGAAACGGCTCGAAAATAAGATGAAATAATTCAATTCCTGGCCGTGACTAACCAAAAAAGATGTGCTGAAAACAACCAACGTCGAGCCAACCTGGCGACCTTGCAGTCCTCATCTTAGGCAGATTATTATCTCGATTAATCCAAAAAGCCTGCACACATTATCTTCGAGTTCAGCTTCCTTTCCTAACAGACTCGCAATCAGGTCATTCACCAGATTTTTCATCTGCCTTTAATAAGCCCCGTTCCAAGCTGGTGTGAGATAAGCTGTGCGCCTAATTACCTGCGACGCGTTCCCTCACCCAGAGCGCGTCACGAGCACACCAACCAGGTTACAACACCAACCTCTTCACATCAAGAGCCTACAAACCTACCCCCCTCAACCTCATCTCGAATCACCATACCTTCATTAGATCTGCTCTGGAGGGGAAAAAAGAATAAATAAAATCCTCCTTCCAAAAACCAAGAAAATATACAAAATGGCGCCGACCATCCCTGAGCCAACCAACAGCAGTACCAATACCACCCCAGCACCCAAGCGCCGCGGCCGCCCGCCCAAGGACCCGTCACAGCGGAAAACGCCCGTGGTGCCAACACCGTCGGGCCGCCCGCGCGGCAGGCCCCGCAAGGACGCCAGGGCTGCTGTTACTCCATCTACTACTACTTCTACGCCGAAAAGGGCTGGTGCTGGTGCTGGTGCTCGTGTGACCAAGACGGCGGGGACAACGGTCACTGCCGGGGGCGGGGCTTTGCATGCTTCCTCCGGCAACGGCAATGGCAACGGGGAAGCGAGCGCGCCGGTGATGAAGAGAGGCCGTGGGAGGCCGAGGAAGAATCCCCTTCCCGTTCCCGTTCCCGTAGGTTCTGCTGCTGCTGCTTTGGGGGGGGCTGCGGTTGAGAAGAGTGCCGCTGCTGGGGATGGGAATGGGAATGGGAATGGTGAGGGAGTGCCGGTGGTAATGAAGAGGGGCCGTGGGAGGCCGCCTAAGAACGCTGCTGCTGTTTCTTCTGCTGCTCCTCCTGCTGGTGTCAGTCGGGTTGCGGGTGCGGGTGCGCAGGGTGCGGGTACAGGTATGGATGCGACGCCAGCAAGGAAGAGGGGTCGACCGCCGGGTTCGGGGAAGAAGCAGAAGGCTGCTGCTGCTGCTGCTGCTGCTGCTGCCGCCGCTGCTCAGCGGCCTGCGAGTATCACGGCTGGTGAGCGAGATGGAGATGGGCAAGAGGAAGAAGAAGAAGAGGAGGAGGAGGAGGAGGAGGAGGAGGAGGAGGAGGAGGAGCCCATGCCGGTGGAGGATAATGCTGGGAGCAACGAGGATGAGGATTATCAGGGCGCGGATGACGGCGCGGATGACATGGATGAGGAGGATTGAGTGAGGCATGAGGAATAAATCGAGGACTATACAGTAGGTATGCTGGCGGAAGGGATATGGAGTTTGGTCTTGAGGTTTCCTGGTCGTACTTGAATGGTTTGAACCTTGAACTCTCGCAGGACAGGATTTTGGAGTTCATATCTGTTGACGTTATTGTACAAAACACCATGTCTTCACACTCCTCGTCAATGGTATCGATTGGTAATTTTGCACTGACGACTACGGGTACTTGATTTGTATCACTAGTTATTCTGTAGGCTGTTAAAGATTCGGATGGGATCTGGCGCAAGGAAGCTCGAGTGAGGAAGTCAGACCGTCAGAGATTCAGAGTAGGAATGCACTGATAATACAGTTTGGGTTACTGCATATTTACATAGTATTTTATCAGTGGTTCTCTGCTTATCGGGGGTATGCACACAAGAGCTCCTGCGCGTCTCAAACTCACTCAATCAAGTCGCCACTCACTGCGGACATTTCACCGCTGCCAAGAATCTGAGCTTGAGGATTGAGCTAAGAGCATTTGATGCCTGTCCCGTCTGTTATCGCTCATATTTCCGCGCAAACCCTTGCGTTTCTCAACTAACTGAACAAGCCAGTCCTGCAATGGCCTGCTGCGTACGAGTACAGTCGACCTGGGGTTTGCCTGCAACTGTGTGAATTCACACGGAGTCGGTGCTGGAACATATCGAATTCAGGAGGAAAATACAAACCACCATCTAGATCAACATAGGCTTGTTGTGGCTCGCAATGGCGAAAAAGGGCAAGAACCAGAACGCCGCCCAGGCGACCAACACTCCAGCCCCCGCGGCCGGCAAGTCCAGCACCAAGAAGGATGCCAAGAAAGCTCCCGCTGCTGAAGGCGACTTCATCGTTTTCACCAATTCAGACAAGGACCCCAAAGGGAAACGAGGGGGTGGAGGAGGCGGAGGAGGTGGTCCGTCGAACAGCAGCAGCGCCAACACCAACCCGGGCGACAACACCGCCGACGGGCCTCCGCGCCCCACTGCAAGGCAACTCATAGGCGGCGCCTCCTGGACCGGCAAACTCCCCGTCAATCTGCTCTCGGAGCACTGCCAGAAACAGAAGTGGGAGAAGCCCGACTACAACACCATCAAAACCAAGGAAGGCTACTCCGTTCTGGTCAGCCTGAGCGCCAAGAACCCCAAGACGCAGGAGATCACCAAGCTGCCGCCCTTCAAGCTCCCGCCCAGCCACGTCCATCTCGCCTACAAGCCTACCGCGCTCGAGGCCAAGCACTTTGCCGCCACCTACGCCCTCTACCGCGTGTGTAACATGAAAAACCTGCACATCTCGCTGCCGCCTGACTATAAAGCCCTCTGGAAGGACTTTGAGCAGCTCAAGAAGCAGGACGTTAAGGAAGGCAAGGCGTGGATGTACGAAGCTGACCCGTTCCAGGCGGCTAGGGAACGGGAGGAGGCCAAGGCCGCAGCCGAGAAGAAGAGGGCTCAAGCCCAGGCTGCAAGGGAGAAGGCTGCTGATAGTAACGAGCCCGGGCTGGTATTCAGGGGAAGCGGTGATGGCGGAGCTGGAGGAGGAAGTCGGGGAGGCGGGGCGCATGGGCTCATGAGGGGCTGGGCGACGGTGCCCAAGATCGAGATGGGAAACAAGACACGCTCTCAGTTGGAGGATATATTGCGGAGGGAGACCGTGTGGAATCCCCATGGCGTCGTTATGACGGCAGCGCAAAAGGCAGCCATCGTGAAGGAGTTCAAGGAACTCGGGTTCCGGCAGAGCCATGTTGAAGAGGCCGTCGAAGTGTGCAAGGACCGCGAGGAGACGCTGGAGTGGCTTTTGGTGCATATTCCCGAAGATGACTTGCCGAGGTGGGCCCTCCCGGAGAGATACAGCGCCGGGGTTACCGTGGCAGCGACCGATCTGCGAAAGGAAGGGACCATCAAGCGTCTCGCGCAGTCTGGCTACTCGATCGACCTCTGTCGCAAGATCCTTGATGCGAGTGGCGGCGACGAAGGCATCGCTGCAGAAACCCTGCAGAAGCTGCTTCTGTCGAGTGGCGGCGGCCAAGATGGCGCCCGGGAAGACGAAATTGACTCGTGGAGGACGCCAGAAGAGTGCTGGGAGGAGGAGATGGCGACTCTCGAGGCTAGTTTTGGGGACAAATACGCTCGCACTTCGCCCGAGGTGTGCCAGATTCGCGTCGAGTCGGTGGTCAACGGAGCAAATACGGACGTCGAGACGCATCTTGTTTTCCGGAAATCTTCCCAGTATCCGGCCCAAGTCATATTGTCAATCCTGGCACCCCTGCCTGCCTACATCAAGCTCAGCATTATCAAGAAGGCACTTGGGTATGCCAACGAATCGCTGCGAGGCGAGGAGATGAAAATCTACTTTATCACGAGCTGGGTCCAGGAAAACATCAACGAGATTATTGAGAGGCCCGGCGCTCTTCGGGACGTGGCTGCCGTAGCATCAGCTGCTTCGGAAGAGCCAGTGTCGGTTCACAAGCCGACCAGGAGACGGCCTCGCTACCCAAAGCCCATCAATTGGACGCCGAACCCTCAGAGCAAGCAACAGTGGGTAGCAAGGACGGAGACTCCAAGCTACAAGAAGATGCTCTCCCAGCGAGAAAGATTGCCGGCGTGGCAAGTAAGGGCTGATGTGGTGCGGACTGTCACCGAGAATCAAGTCACCATCATCTCTGGAGAGACTGGCTCCGGAAAGTCGACTCAGTCTGTCCAGTTCATCATGGATGACCTGTATAACAGGGGTCTCGGAAACGGGGCAAACATCATTGTGACTCAACCGCGGCGAATCTCTGCCCTTGGTCTTGCCGATCGAGTGGCCGAGGAGCGGTGCTCGCAGGTCGGGCAGGAGGTTGGCTACTCAATCCGGGGCGAGAGTAAAACCAGTCCAAACACCAAGATCACGTTTGTGACGACCGGTGTTCTGCTCCGGCGCTTGCAGACTTCTGGTGGCCGGGTGGAGGATGTGATGGCTTCGTTGGCCGATGTCAGCCATGTCGTCGTTGACGAGGTTCACGAGCGCAGCCTTGACACCGATTTCCTGCTGAGCGTCATTCGAGACGTTTTGTACAAGCGGAGAGACCTGAAGCTCATTTTGATGAGTGCGACGCTCGACGCTGCTTCGTTCAGAGACTACTTCACAGTTGAGGGGCACGATGTCACTGTCGGTATGGTCGAAATTTCCGGTCGAACGTATCCGGTCCAGGACTACTATCTCGATGATGTGATCCGGATGACGGGCTTCAGTGTTGGAAACAGGGATTTCTACGATGATGGCCTGTCGAGCAAGACATCCGCAGACCAGGGAGACCCCATCAACAAGACTATTCAGATGCTAGGCACTCGCATCAACTACGACCTTCTTGTGGAGACGGTGAAGGCCATCGACTCCGACTTGTCGATGACACAGAAGGCTGGTGGCATCTTGGTCTTCCTGCCTGGCGTAGCCGAAATTAATCGCGCCTGCAACGCCCTCTCGTCCACAGCTTCTCTGCACGTGCTGCCCCTCCACGCATCTTTAGAGACTAGAGAGCAAAGAAAGGTATTCGCTGCCGCTCCGCCGGGCAAGAGGAAGGTGGTCGTCGCCACCAACGTTGCTGAGACGTCAATCACCATTGACGACATAGTTGCCGTCATCGACAGCGGCAGAGTCAAAGAGACATCTTTCGACCCGCAGAACAACATGCGCAAGCTCGAGGAGACGTGGGCCTCCCTAGCCGCTTGCAAACAGCGTCGCGGTCGTGCCGGCCGTGTTCAAGCCGGCAAATGCTACAAATTGTACACGCGGAATCTTGAATCTCAAATGGTTGAGCGCCCCGACCCGGAGATCCGGCGCGTCCCGCTCGAGCAGCTCTGCCTCGCCGTCAGAGCCATGGGAATTCGCGATGTTGGCCACTTCCTCTCTCGCGCTCCCACGCCACCCGACGCCACTGCCGTAGAGGCCGCCGTTACCATGCTCCGGCGGATGGGCGCATTGGACGGCGACGAGTTGACAGCCCTCGGCCAGCAGCTCGCCATGATACCCGCCGATTTGCGCTGCGGAAAGCTGATGGTGTACGGCTCCATCTTTGGGTGCCTCGACGAGTGCGTGATCATCGCCGCCATCCTGAGCACCAAGAGCCCCTTCACCTCTCCCGGGGAGAAGAGGAATGAGGCGAAGCAGGCCAAGATGAGGTTTGCGAGGGGCGACGGTGATTTGCTCACCGACTTGAGGGCATTTCAAGAATGGGACGCTATGATGGCCGATCGGGGGATTCCACAGCGAAAAGTCCGCCAATTCTGCGACGATAACTTCCTATCCTTTGCGACCCTTTCGGATATCGCCTCGACGCGCTCGCAGTTCTATGCTGCGCTCGCTGAGATGGGCATCATCCCCCGGAACTACATACCCTCCAATTCTTCGCCCTCGTCGTCTGCTTCCTCCCCGCTCCTCCGCGCCCTCACGGCGTCCGCCTTCTCCCCTCAAATCTGCCGCATCCAATTCCCGGACAAGAAATTCGCCACGTCGGTCTCGGGCGCGGTCGAGCTGGACCCCGAGGCAAAGACGATCAAGTACTTTTCCCAGGACAACGGCCGCGTCTTCATCCACCCAGCAAGCACCCTGTTCGACAGCCAGGGCTTCGCGGGCAACGCCGCTTACATTTCGTACTTTACCAAGATCTCGACAAGCAAGGTGTTTGTGCGGGACTTGACGCGTAAGCTTATCACTCTTTCCTTTCCTTTCCTTACCCTCCCTCGCTGATCGCTCCCCTCACCCCGTTACCCTTCTCATCCCTTCTTTTCTTCCCCAAAAAACCGGGCTTACCAGACGCTAATAAACAATAAAACAAAACAACAGCCTTCAACGCCTACACACTCCTCCTCTTCTCAGGCGCCATCGAGCTGGACACGCAGGGCCGCGGCCTGGTCGTCGACGGCTGGCTGCGGCTGCGCGGCTGGGCCCGCATCGGCGTGCTCGTCTCGCGCCTGCGCGGCGTCATTGACCGGCTGATTGAGCGCCGCGTCGAAAACCCTACCTCTACCTCTACGGGTCTGCTGGACCTGCAGGGGAGCGACGACGACATCATACGGCTCGTGACAAGGCTGGTCGAGCTGGATGGGCTTGATGCCTGACGTGAGTCACAATACAATACGGATCGGATGTGGAAGCTGGAAGGGGATATATTGGAGCGCAGGACCCTTTAGGTGGAATTTAAGTGATAACAACATAGATGTTAGTGTAGACGAGGGGATGCAACAGGTTGGGATGCTTCTTGGTCTATAACTAAACAAAATGGGGTTGGGTAGGTAGGTAGGTGGTTCTGCAAAAGATGGATCAACCTAGATGAGTCTGGGTTGCCTTTCGCAAGTAAGTTTATCAGTGCTGTTGGTGGCTGAGGATTGTGACTGCAGAATCACCAAACAGCATCTCTGTTGCCCTCACAGCTCCTGAAAGAAAATTCACATCCCTTCATTCAGCACTGCCCTGCATTACAGATACCAGATCAGGAGAGTACACATTTCTCATGTCCGAAATGCGCAAGCATCTTAAAATTAAGGGGCGGGCGCATACCGTATATTCTTGAGAAATCCAGATACCGCTTAGGCACGTACTAAGTCAAGCGACGTCTCTAATCGAACTTCCACCCACTTCAAACCGTAATTTCGAGCTCGCATCGCATCAGCAAAGTTGAAGCGCATTGCAGGGTGCCAGACTGAGATTGGTCGCTGGTCTTAGTACGTGCCGAAGCGGTATCTGGATTTCTCAAGAATATACGGTATACGTTTCAATATCCGGTCTTTGCAACTGGCATTACTGGCATCTGGTACTTCACAAAATCCACATCATGTTTTGATTCAACGACTGTCGTGGCTTCATTCTTGTCTGCAGAGAGAGAAGCTAGTCTGGTATCGCGATCCACTCGTTCCATCCTGGCATCAAAATCCGCCTTGGCAGGGGTCCATTCAACAGTCACTCGCCACTTGGCGGTGACCAGATAGACCAACGACTCGGGATATCTACGACAGCCAACTCGTCGCTGCAGCCATGCACTAGCAATGACTGAGCATGAGTTAGTACTTGCGCCGAAGCCAGACGATCCTCATGACCGTCATTTGACCTTCGGCGCGGCGCGATTGGCGCCCTTATGTTCTCATGGCAGGGTAGGAGCTATCAAGCTACCATTCAGACCCTCCTTTTTCCTTCAGTACAGTCCGTAATATGCATCATGTATTCGTCAGGCTGGAGCTATCAAGCTACCAAGCGACCTGGCCTCTCCCTCTATGGCACTAGTTCGTGGGTGTCACTAAAAACAAAAGGATGATAACGCGTTGTGGAGGGGGTGTGGAAGAATGATTTGGGGTATGTAGGAGATTGTGTGGTTTTAGCCCATCGCATAGGCCTTCTGCGTCGTGCTGTGATAGCCGGGACTGAAGGGTACGGCGGGAAGAGCCAGTGTTGCAAAACTTAAGCAAAACAGGCAGCGGTCGGTGGCTCGCACAATCAAAGAAGTTTGTGTTGGCGTGGTCAAGACCGGCAGTCATGATCCCTCGTCCTCCTGCCATTGTCCAAGTTGAAGCAGAGACCGCCTACATATCCATGGACTCCGTGCCGTTAGCCCCAAAGTTGAACCCGCCGCTCTGTTGCGCCCCGTTCGCGCCGAAGCCAAACTGCTGTCCAGGCTGGCCCATTGCCTCGTCGGCGATCTCATCTTCGTCCGAGAAGTACTTTTCAATGATGTTGTAAGCTTTCATGTAGATCTCCTCGTTGGCGTTCGTCTGGCAATCGTGTATCTTCTCCATGCCACCGCACTCCTCAATGAAGAGGGCATAACGATTGACGGAGTCGGGCCCATCGCCTGCAGCCTGCTTGTCGAGTTCTCCAACCTTCAGAATGTTCTCCAAACCATCGAGGGCAACCTGGATGATCTTGTTGTCAGGGCAGGCAAGGAGGTCACAGAGCGGCTTGATGCAGCCCTGCGACACCAGGTACCGGATCTGGTCGGGCTTCTGCAGGCCACCCGACGTGGCATTGCTAATCGCCCAGCATGCTTCCTTGCGTGTCTTGAGGTCTCCATTTGAAAGCAAGTGGATCAAAGGAGGGATGATGTTGGCATCGATCACGGCCTGGATCTGGGCAGAGTTCCCAGCAGTTATGTTGGAGATGGTCCAGCAAGCCTCCTTCCGAATGCCGTCCTTGTTAGAGCTCAACAGGGAAAGCAGGCATGGCAAGGCACCACAGTTGATAATAACCTGGGTCTGCACATCGTCACCGGTGACAATGTTGCCAACAGAGCGAAGGGCAGGTGTCTGGACAGAGGTTGATGCGTGCATCAAGAGCTCAACGAGACGACGCGGAATGCCAGCTTCAATGACAGCCTGGATCTTATCGTTTGAGCCATCTGACAGGTACGAAATTGCCCAGCAGGCGTCAATCAGCACTTCGTCGTCAAGCGAATAAACGAGCTTGGAAAGAATGGGGAGAGCAGGAGCAATCTGCCGAGCATTAGCATCACGTGATGGAAGGGCGCGGGGGCAGATGGAGACTTGACGTAGCAGACTTACCGTATTCCAATCCGGCTGGGGCGTCTTGCCGCGGCAGAAGTTGCTCAGGGTCCAGGTGGCGTTCCTCAACATGCTCAGCTTGCGGCTATCTCCGAGCAAGGCGAGCAGAGGGCGGAGAGCACCCTGACTGAGGACGTAATCTCTGCACTGAGGGCTGTCACCGGCAATGTTGCCCAGCGCCCAGACGGCCTGCTCACGGACATCTGGTTCGGGGCTGTTGAGAAGCTCGACAAAAATAGGCACGGCACCCGCCTCAATGACCACCTGAGTCTGTTGTGCGGAGCCGGAAGCGATGTTGGTGAGGGCCCAGGCGGCCTCGAACTGAACGAGGGTATGGGGCGAACGTAGGAACTCGACAAATCGGGTCACGACGCCAGTCTTGATGACCTCCTCGATAGGGGGGTTGCGCTCCTTGCTCAGCAATTTCCTGAATTTTGTTGTCGCCTGGATCTGGAGGTCAATCTGGTCCGAGAAGACTCCAGCAACCATTTGCGGGAGGTCCTCATTAAGCTAGACGCATTAGGTTAGCAATAGGCTCGAAAAAATGTCAGGAACTCGACACGGAGATACAAATATAGGCACGATGATGGTGGTTGCCATGAGATACCCTGGGTTGCTTGGTGAGTGGTGCGGATGTGGACCGGGCCAGACCAGCAACAATTCAAGAACAGGCGGCGGGGTACAAGCGGGGGTGGAAGGCAGGCTGATGCTAGATCGCAAAGGCGAAGAGGCAGAGAGAAAAACTCAAACATGATACGGAACATTTGACTAGTAGCCAAACAGGGCGAAGGGGAAAAGGGATGGGTAATATACCTGAGTCTCGCTGGGAGGATTCTCATCGTCGCTGTCGGGCGCAGCTCCCAGAGATGCGCCCGGCCGGTTCTCGCCAGTGCCAATACCACGGCGCTTGGCCAAGTTCTCCTCCCTCTTCGCCCTGCGGATCTCAACTTGGTGCTCTTCGTGGCGACGTCGCAGCTCCTCGGGCTTGAAGGCACTCTTGGCCTTGAACTGAGTGCGCCGATGCTCGGGGATGTACTTATCGGCCATGGCTGCGATGTGATTGTGTTTCACCAATGGCGAGGCTTTCGCGATTGGGCGCAGAGAGGGCGCGAGTTAAATGGACCGGCGATGACCAGAAGAACCTGGTAGAGGACCTGGTTGCGAAAGAAGGCAACGTGAACTATATCCCGCTGGGAAACCCTTTGATATGAGTGGGCTGTTGGGAGGAAGTCGGTTGCTAGGAAAACGGGACTTTGGTTGTTTTGAGACAATGAAAGAAATTTGGAGTGCGAAAAATGGGGTCCTTGGTCTTGGTTCTTCCTCCGTGTGCAGTTGCCCAATGCCCACTCAGTTAGCGGCCCAGCTGCCCCACCAACTTTGCTCGAGTCAGCAGCATCGATCTTGGTCAGGGAGTTTGGGCCTGAGGCATGAAACCACCATCCCCACCCTGCCCCTCCAACCCCTCCAAGTCCAAGCCCCGACCCACAGACCGTTTTCACATGGTCCGGCGTAAGAATGGCGTCGTTCCCCATCCCTTGCTCAAACGCGTCTTCTAGCGCGTCAATCCGTTGAACCTTAATTCCATTGGATCATCATGAGCTAGCTCTCCCACAAAACCTATGATTACCGATGATCTCTCTTTCTTATCTGGGATGGCACGGGGTTGGATGAGAGATCAGAGTCGAATCTCTTTCTTTCACTCAATTCTCAATTCTGTCTGAAAAATGCCCGTTCGTGGCCAGCCTGCAACGACGGGCCTACCGCCCGCGACTGAGCCTGGCCTCCCTGCTGGGTTCACCAATATGAGTGCCATCCTTGATGGTGACGTGCCTCAAGGGACGTTGGTGAATGTCATAGGTCTTGTAAAAGACTGGCTTCCGCCCAAAGAGACAAGGGGCAAAGGTAAGCGAAAGGTTCTTCACATCTGAAATATGCGCACTTAGGCCTGACTACTTCACAGACTTCAAATCCAGCCTCACTCTATCTGATCTGTCCATCCAAGACCGAGGATACGGCCTCGCTTTCGATATCTTCCGCCCAGAGGCTGACATGCCTCAGCATGTCTCAGCCACCGACGTCGTTCTCCTTACCAAAGCCAAGGTTCAGTATCGCAACTTGAACTGGTCACTAATCTCCCACGTCTCGACCTCAATCCGCACATACGCGGCGAAAAAGATCCCGAGCTTGCCAGGTACAGCCCAGATAGCACTTAAACCTGGCCCAAAGCGAGACGGCTATATGCCCAAACCCGAAGAACATCGGTATATATCTTATTTCTACCACAGATTCGACAAATCCGATGTTCCGGACGATCAGCAATTCAATGCGAGAGCGGAGCAAGCACTCAATGTCACGGACAAATTCAGTCTTCTCCAAAATGTGGAAGACGGCAGATTCTACGACTTGATCGTTCAAGTCGTCAGGGAGCCTCACGATACCGGGCTCGGCAAACTGACTCTCTACGTCTCGGATTACACCGAGAATCCCGGCTTTTTCGATAAACCATGGGAGGGCTCTGAGGAGTTGGATTCGAGGAGCGGAGATCCCTACGGCTACACTTCGAATGAAGGGATTACGCCAAAAGATTGGGCCGGACCGTATGGCAAAAAGTCAATGCAGATTACCTGCTATGAACCTCATGCCAGCGTCATCAGTACAGTGGAGGCCGTCGGGCACTGGGTGCGGTTACGCAATGTCCAAGTCAAATATGGACACGACGGTCGGTTTCTGGAGGGATTTATGCGCGAGGACCGGGGTGCCGCCGCCACAAGGGTCAACGTGGAGTTTCTTGAAATTACTGACCCCGAGACAATAGACCCGAGACTGAAGGAAGCGATCCGTCGATGTCGCGACTTTCAGAAGGAGAAGAAAAAAAGGACCGGGGAATTGCTGGCAGCCAAGGCCGCAGGCCAGAAGCGGAAAGCTTTGCTGGAGCAAAGTGACAGATCGTTAAACAGCAAGCAGCGCCGCAAGCTGAGACGGGCGGCCGAAAAACAAGCGGCCGAAAAACAAAAGGCACAGCAGGACTGCCAAGTCAGCGAAAAGCTGCGCCTCGACCTCAACGACCAGGTAGAGCACGAAGCGCACCCCGTTCCATTCACCACGATTGAGACTATTCTGGAACCCAAAATATACGAGACGGTCGAGGACGAGAAGAAGATCTCCCTGGTGGTACCATTCAGCAATCATAAATACAGGTCATGTGTTCGCGTTGTCGACTTCTACCCCCCTTCACTGGAAGAGTTTGCGCGCGGCCGAATTCAGAGCGACTTTGATGTGCTCACTGATAACGAGAGCGGCAGCGACGAATTATCCTCGCAGGATCTGGAAGGCGAGGCCTCAGGCGGCGGGCGCCTGATCTGGGAGTGGGGCTTTGCCCTCCAGCTCGAAGACGCAACGCCACCGGAAACCGCCGGGAAGAACAAAAACCGCGACCCGAAGCCGCGGCTCTGGGCGTTTGTAAATAATGCTGAGGCGCAGTGCCTGACCGGTCTCCACGCAACGGACCTTCACCGGGATCAGGCTACGCTTGAGATGTTGCGTGAGCGTATGGCCATCCTCTGGGGCGATCTCGAGTCCAAAAAAACGGCGGCGAAGCTGGACAAGGGCAAGGGTAAGCAGTCCGTTCGACGGCCACTGGAGAAGCCCCCCATTGAGACCTCTGATACGGAAGATGTTGATGTCGAAGAACCGGTCTCCAACAAACCCTTCGCTTGCTGCATAGAGGAGTACGGGGTAAAGGATGAGGAAGTGGGGGATGGCTGGGTGAGATGTTTTGGATTGTTCGGGACCAAAATTCGTTAATCTGAGGGCTTGAATTCCCTTATATGAGCTATTGGATTTCAAGGCAGTGGGCGTTGACACCGGGGACAATACGGGAGGAGATCAGGAGTTAGGGTCAATGTTTGTCGTGGTTAACGAGAGCAAGATAATTTATACCCATACAGAGATGTACACGATCCAGCCCTCCTTGCTGACTGCCTCGACCGAAACCTCATAACGAGCAAGCATTTGCCTTTTGCCAGCCTTGACCATAACTGAGCTAAAGAAATGGAACGCTAGTGTAGGAAACAGCCTTGATCGTAGAACCAAGTAAAACGCTGCTTTGAAGGCAGCTAGACGACAGCCATTCTAGGAACTGCAAGGTACTTAATACTCAGAGCCAAGTTCATCATAGACCATAAGTAATCATCGCTGCTCCCGGCCAGCCCTTCAAAGACACTTGCCAGCCAGCTATCCGGATTAACGACACGCGCCGCTGGAACAGCAACAGCCAAGACGCAAGAGAAAAAACTGCAGGTAAAGAAGGGAAGAAAGCTTTCAACACTAGGGCCTTGCCTCCTCACCGCTAGATCTCCCCGTTCATGCACGCCACGCATCATTATCAGTCCCCTATTACAGAATCATCCTCATCCATCCGGGAAGGCTCGCCGTCATCACCTCCACCCCCTCCATCTCCATCTTCATCGTCATCGTCATCGTCTTCAATCGGATCATCCTCATCCAACAACTCCCGCCGTCGCAAATCCTCCCTCGATCCCTCCTCCGGCTCGGGCTCGGGTTCGGGCTCCTCAGGCTCGGAAAGATCCGACAGATCGTCCTCGGCAGCAACCATCTCCGCGCTGCGCGGCGCCTTCTTCCCGGCGGCTGCCGCCGCGGCACCACCACCCCGACTGGCAGCAGCAGCAGCAGCAGAAGCATTAGTAGTAACAGGCTGCTTACCCTTGCCCTTGCCCTTCGCACTCGCACCCGCAGAAGCAGAAGCAGCTCCTTTTCTCCCCGCACTCCCACCACTAGCAGCAGCTGCCGCCAGCTTATCTCTTATCTTCCCTTCATCCAGAAACGCGAGCGTCTCTTTAAAGTTCGGCCCCAGCTTCGCCCGGTTGCGCACCATCCTCTTTCTCAATTTACCCGCCCCGGGACCGTCGTGGTCGAGCATCTTGGCCAGCATGGCAAGGACCAGCTTGCCGGTGAGCTCGCACAGGGATCGCTCCAGCTTGAGCTCTTTGCCCTTGCGCTCGGTCGGGGTGAGGTTTGCGTCGTCGTCGTCGTCGTCGCCATTGTCGGCGTCTTCGTCCTCGGACAGCTGGTTCAGCGGGTCCTCGACCTCGGCCGGCTCGTTGAGCGTGCGGCCGATGCAGCGCGCATAGGCGCGCTCGGCGGCAGTGAAAATTTCAATCAGTTCGTTTGTGAGTCCCGCCTGGATGGGCTCGAAGAGTGGGGTCAGCTGGGGGTATTCTCCTTCCTCTCCGAAGGGGTCTGTTGCGACTGCTGTTTGGGGTTGTTGTTGTTGGTTGCGGTCGCCTGCGGCAGCCTGGCGGAGGGTGGCGAAGAGTACGTGCAGATCGCAGAGGCCACCCGTCGCAAACAGCCGCAACTCGTCGTTGGTCCCGCGCGAGGACAGGGTCCAGATGAGATTGTTTGCGTACGTTTTGCGGAGCGAGGCAAGGCGATCAATGTCGCGCGGGGCGATGTCGGCGCGAGCTTGGACGGCGCCGATGAGGGCGCGCACTTTCCACATAAAGTAAAACTGGCATGCTTGGATAGCGAACGCAACGGCTTCGTCTTCGAGGTCGTCGAGGACCTCGTCTTCTTGCTCGAGCTTGCCGCGGTGCACTATACGGATGAGCAGTTCGATGACGGGATTGGTGGAGTCTTCTGACTGGCCCTGGGCTTCGAGCACTTCGACGCAGTCGGCAATGCTGGCGAGCTTGCTGATCTTGAGGAGGACGTTCCCGAGCTGGGTGATAGTGGGGGGTTTCATGTTACCACGGTCGCTCAGGTCTTGAGTTTTGTCGAATTGCCGGAGGGTGTTGAGAACTGTCTCCCAGAGCTCTGATATCTTGGTGTCAGTAAGCTCCTCTAGTGCGTCATATTTGCGCGCGTGCAAAAGAGCAGCCGCCGCTTCAGCCAGAACGCCCCGATCGACATGCCGGTCGAACTGTGTGCATATCTCGTCTAGCAAGCGACTGTATGTTGTCGAGTCTTGGCGGAGCTGCTGGAAGATGTCCAGAGGTAAGGAGTGCTCCAGTCGTAATACAAGCACTGCAGTATTAGCTTCGGCTCCGTATTTGTTCAGGAGCTGAGGGATAGCAGTGGCCAGATGCACCGCAGAGTCCTCTGCGCTTTCAATGGCATCAGGGCGTTGTCTCCTCCTGCTCCTGTCGGCCTCCAAGCCGGGTGCCAGACTCAGCCGCACGGCGCATGCCAGCACCTCGAGAAGCACGGCTTCCTCGTTGCCCGCCGGCGCTATGGCGGTTTTCATGGCCACCTCGCTTGAGGTGCGCTTGGATGACGGCCTTGATTTCGTGCTTGTCGTGTGATCGTAGAGGAGATAACCTGACAGGAGCTCCCAGTTCTTCACTTGGTCGATTTTCTCATACAGCACTTGGGATGCCATGGAGATGCGCGTCTCGGGCGCGACAGCCGGAACTATCCCGACAGCGATATCAAGCCCTCGGGGCGGTAGTGTGCGATTTTCCTCCTCGAGCTGTGCATCGTATGCCGAGAGCAGCTCGGCAAGACATTTGATGGCGATCCAGTCTCTGCGGGGAGAAGAATAGTCGTCGTCGTCGTCTTCGCCGAACAGCTCGTCAATGGCATCGCCGCCTCCCATTTCGTCAATCTTGGTCTCGATCGAGTCGTTGACGCAGCCCGCGAAGAAATCTATGACTGCTCTTCGCACACGCAGCTCCGAATCGAAGATCAACCGGCCTATTGAGTCAATCTCGCCAGGTTCTAACATGCCCGTGTCCTTGAGGATCTGGATAACCGCGATAGCAGCGACGCGGACGCTGACATCCGAGTCCTTTGTAGCCATTTCGACCAAGCGCGGCCTGAAGCGGTCGATAAAGTGTCCGAGTTTTTCAGCGTCCCGTTTGAATATCCGCGCGAGCTGCTTGAGAACCTCATGTCTCGTCTGCGGCATGACATCGGAAAGCATCCAGCCCAGATACCGTAGATACTCGGGTTCCATGAAGAAGGTAGGCAGATGCCAGGTCCAGGTGCCGAGGGCCTCGACGCACTCGGTCCGGATCTTGGGGTCGACATCGCGGTACCGATGGACAAAGACAGTTTGGAAGAAGTCGTTGATCTGCTCTTCACAGAGTTTACGATTCTGCTCCGCTTCGTCCAAGTTCTTCTGGATTGCGGCAAGCCGCTCCTTGTTCTTTCCCTTGCGGTTCTTCTCAGCTTCAACCCCCTGCGTCATCTTGCTGACGCGGTCATCGAGTTTCTTGGCTACTTCGACCAACGCCGTCTCCATTGCGAGTGCGACGGTCGTTGCCGTGTGCCTGAATGGCCGCAGCGTAGAAGAGGACATGGATGCCACCCATCTTGCAATGTTTTCCATCAATGCGCCGTCCTTGTAGAGGACGTCGGTCTCGTGCAGAACGGTGACAAGAGACCTGAAGAAGCCAATGAGCAGGTCACGGAACGACTTGCTGGACTTGGCCCTAGAGATTAATGGATAATCCGTGATCCCCTCCTGTGAGTGTATGTTAGCGCCTTACAACGCTGAGGGGGCCGGTGATCGACTTGCCTCGGTATAGACATTCTGTAAGTCGGCCAGCCTATTAGAGCAGTTCTCGGGATCGCGGATGTCGTCTTCCGTGACCTGCTGATCGCAGCCGGCTGACAAGAGGACGCAATTCACGAGATCGGTGACAGCGGCGGTGTTATCCGCCTGATACTTGTGGTACCATTCCGTCGCGACCTTGTCGGAAGAGTCTCCAGAGGCAAAAATATTGGCTGGGAAATAATAATCAGCACTTGTGCCACCCGCTGTGGCTAATTGTTTGCAGGGGAAGCGGCAACCCACCATACAACCCGTCACCGTCGCGACGGGCAATCTCTATTCGAACGGCCTTCTTCGGGCGGCTGGGCAGTTGCGCAGCATGCATTGGCTCGAAGCCCGACGCGTCGCCATTGATTTTGGGCTTCTTTGCGGCCGGCTTCCTTGCTTTGGGGCGCTGCGACGACGAGGGTTTCCGCTTTCGGGCGGCGCGCCGGGGTTCCTCGGTAGCCGTGTCTTCGGCGTCATCCTCGTCAGCATCGCTAGGCTCCTCTGCCTCATCCGGCGACTCGTTCTCAACATCCTCTGCATCGTGGTCGGCGTCCCGCTTGCGCTTGGTGGTTCCCGGCGCATCGGGGGTAAACTTGGCGGGCGCCTTTGTGACGCGTCCCGAGCGGCGCGCAGTGGAAGGAGGAGCCGGCGAGCTCGTCGCGTTATTGTCTGAGGTTTCCATGAGTGGTTGTCGTTCGAATGGCATTACATTTGTTGTGGCAGATACGAAGCTGGTAGCATGAGGAGCGGCGACTTTCGTCCTTTTTTCTTTCCCTTTGCAATTGACGCGTCAAAAGCGGCAGGAGGGAGTCGCCAGGTTATTTTGGCGGTTGATGCCCCACTATAATCGCCCACCAACACCCCGGCGCAACAGGGACGCAAAAGCTTATGCAATTATCGGGTCTTTTTCATACATAAGTGACATGAGTGACGCTGACCCATAGGCTTCGGGCTGCTACGATGGTCGCTTTAATGAAGGATCTATCATGTGCTGCCGAGCTATCCTGAGAGCCAAAATATGTAGAGTACAAGTACAAACACAGTGCTCGTCCATGGGTATCAAGGCTGCTCATCATCTTACACACATCAATGAGTGATCACCGAAATGGCGCGATACACTGCCCTCCTCAAGTAGCATCGACCCGACCCAGGACCGGCCGGCCTCGACATCGAGGGCTCCGAACTTGACCACAACGCAGCCCCGGACGTTGGCCGCCGACCACAGGAGCTTATTCTCCCTCTCCATACGGAGCCTCTCTGCTCGCCACTTCTCCCTCGGTGACAAAGGTGCAGCAGCTGCCTTCGCGTCGTCACTCCGAAAGTCGCGTGCCCCGAGCCGCGGAAGGGCCGCGAACTCGCCAAGAAAGAACTCGCCGAGAGACTTCATCAAAGGCCCTCGCAACAAAAGAGTGCCGATGACACCAACGGAATGCATCGACTCGCGTAGGCTAGGCAGCTGTGGGTGAGCCCGGTTGTTGTCGAGGATAACAGAATCCCTCACAAGGAGCCGGTCCCTCTCCGTCGATGCATCCCCAAGCGCCCATACCTCGTTGCGACCAAGCCAGCGGACGAAGCTCCAGTTTTCCCCACGAGCAGTGCGTCCCTGCGTAACCCAGTCCAAAAGGCACAGCGAGGCGTTCCGCGCCAGCCTAAAGATTTGGACCTGCTCGTATACGCTGCTGGCGAACGGCTGGACGGGATCCGGGAGCAAACAGAGGGCGGCATCGGCGGCAATCTGGACGCGCATGGTCTGCCGAGTTACAACGTCTGGTGTTGCTGACTTGAAGATCTTGGTGTGCCCCTGCGTGACGAGTGCCAACTTGGCCCCGGTCTGCACATCGACAGATAGGTTGACAATATCTCCACCAACAAGACCGCCGCCAAACGAGAGGAGAAACACGAGCACGCTTTTGGTTTCTGAGGGGCGTGTCGGCGAGACGAGCTTGAGCGGATATTGATATGAGAGTGCTTGTAACCCGGAAATGCCTTCAGGAAGAAGCCGGATCACAATGCGCCCTTCACCAGCGGCCGAGGAGGACCTGGGAAACGGCGAGTCCATGGCGTGTACGCGCCGAGTTACCTCATGTTGGCATCTGCAGTATGGACCAGCCGGGGAGATGGGTGAGTTGGTGAGTGGACTCGCTGGAGGATCGGGAGCGATATGAATGAGTGAACTAACAATGTGTTACGGAGTTAAGTACTGTACCTAGAATTAGTGATACGCCAACCCTTATCGCGTTACACAGCAGTTACTTCCCGATTAAGGTGCCCCGCATCAAGTAGTTACTCGTCCCCCACCAAGGGCCCCACACAAGCTAGGGTTGGGTAATCTCGAACATCGCTTGGAAATTCGTAAGCTGAAATCTAACTTTGAATTGCGAAATTTCCGCCATTCCGCTAGCCGTTTTGGAAGGCGGTGAAGCAACAGGGTTAGGGTTATGTATGCCCAACTATGTATGTATGTAAGTGCCCAACCTTCCAACCTTACTACCTAGTGCT